TGTTTCCATTCTGAACCTCTCTCCATGGAGGGGAGCAATGCTGGCTGGCTCTAAAACAAGTCCTGGCCATCCCTCCCCAGCAAGAAGGGCAATTCCCACAATGCAGGGCCTTTTTGTTTTACTATAAGCTCTTTGGAAAGAAGTCTGTTTTTTTCCTGTGTCTGTGGAGCACTAACACAGTGGATCCCTAATCTATGAGGGTTTCTGCTTGTGCTACCCCAGTATAATAATACTCCCTCCCCCAATGTGGTGCAATCCAAAGCTGCTAGTGTTTAGAACAAACCCTGAAGAAAAGCAGCAGGTGGGCTGATTAAGCCACATCCCAGCTCTGTTGCACCCTTTTCTGAGGTTCCCTTGTTTGATTACCATCTGTATGCTAGATCCTTTCTATCCAGGCACTTTGGCATCCCCCTGATCACGGAAGTATCTGAGCCACTCACAAGCACCTCATGGCTTTCCTGTGCAACAGAGCAGTGTTATTATCCCCCTGTTTACAGAGGGGAACTAAGACTCAGAGACAGCGACCCAAAGTGACTTGGAGAGAGTAAGCAGCTAGCCTAGATCCCATAGGAATTGAGTTTGTGACTCCTTTGTGCCAAGCAGTACATAAAACACAAGAGCTTCCACCTTTCTTGGTACAGGTGGCATTAGTGTCTGCTCCCTTTTCTTGACCCAGGGGCATCTGATGTGTTTTGCATTGCTTTTCATGACTCCCCCGAATTTGAACACATGCTTTACAGCCCTGTTTCCTTGCTGGGTAGGGTGGGGCAGAGAGGTTGAACAACACGGATTTCTTCTCTCCCAGCAGGGGTCAGTCTATTTCCTTAGAGGTTCTCTTGGCTGGATGCTGTACCTCTCTGGTCCCGTCTGTTGCCACATAGAGCAAAACTGGGACATGACCAATCTGGCATTTCAGTTAAATTCAGTGGATGCCTGTCCCAGTGTTTCCATAGGGGGAGGTTTATCACTACTCCAGTATCATAAGCATTTTGAAGTACTCCCAGACTCTTAAGATCTTCTAGTGACATATGCAGCCACTTCACCCTCATTTCTGTGGCTTGCTGGGCTGCCAGATACTTTTCATATAAACACATGCTGCTATGGCCCTGTGGTCTTTCCTGCAGTGCCCCCTCCCACCCCCCCACCCCTCCAGCATCAGTAGTTAGTAAAAGTGAGCATCTCCATGTCCACAGGGACAGTAATGGTAAAGCTGGCAGATAACCTCCAGGATTTTTCATGCCATTTGCAGGTGGACATAAAAAGCCTCCATGGTTATGTCTATGCCATGTCTCCACCTTACACTGGCCCCATTGTACAAGATACTATCGAAACAGGTAGTAAAGGTGGGGAAGGGGAGTTTAGTGGGCAGAGCACTGGACTAGCACTGGGGAAATCAGGTTCTTTTCCATGTTTGACTCCAAACACATCTTGGGACGTGGGGTTAAGCCACATAGACTTTCTTCTGCTTTCCTATCTGTAGACTGGACTAGGCCTGCCCTATCTCACAGGGTGTGATGAGAATAAGAGTCATTGATTTTGAGGAGCTCAGATACTATAGGCCTTTTAAGTACTATGGCGGTTTATCCCTTGCAATCAAAATGGAGAAAGGAAATATCATCCTTGTTGTATGGCCAGGCAGTCAGGATGAGAGAAGTTGAGTGTACATCCATTCTGATACAGAGGTCTGCCTGCAGCCAAGTGTTTGTCTGCACCATGATCCAGAGATGCAGTAGGAACTCCTGTAAACATACCTGAGCATTTTCAAACTGGCTAGTTCAGGTACTGGGAGCAACGCTAACTCACCAAGGATTCTGGATGAATTGTCTGTAGCTGGAGTCCAAGCTGCTGATGGTGCTTGAGGTAGCTAGCATACAGGTAGCTTCGATATATCTACTTGAGCTGTAGTCGCACCTCTAGCAGTATACGTATCTTCTAAGGGACTCACCTAGAAGACCTCTATACTGGAGTCAGTGGCTCTAGAGGCACAAGGTTCTTGGGTCTCAAGCTGCTGCTTGTTCATTGCCCACAGGAGGAAGGAAGGATTAGCCAATACGAAGGACAAGCCCCAAGAGAATACAGCTGGCTTGTTGTCTCTGAAACACTAGCTCGGGCAGACTGGCGATTCATTGGAAAAGGTTTTTGTGAGAGAAAAGAGAGCTAACTGAACTACCTCAAGAATGAGGATCTCCCGAGTCTGAGTCCCTGCTCTTCCAGGGCCTTGCTGTGTGTTAAATCACTCTGTATTTTCTACATTTGTAGGCAGAGATAATACTAACCACACCTCCAGGGTTATTTGGCCTTACTGCTATCACCTGGCACTGCCAGAAGCCCTGGCTTGTAGTGCTTCATCTGAGAAGCACCATAGTTTCATGTAAACCAGAAACGCAGCTCCCCACCCACTCTGGTGTTACCTCACAAGGGGATTTCAGGTCAGGAGTTTAGTTTTAATGTCTCAGGGCATCTTGAGTTGCCTCTGCAAGCCAGACCATTTGTTAAAGGGTCTTGTTATGGGCACAACTGTGGCTGTGAGTTCAGCTGTGGGAGGCCTGCCTGTGCCAATGGCAGTTTAGTGAAATCCCTTTCCATCTCTGTTGAGACTCGAGCTAACTCCTGTGCTCTACTGAGATCACTTGCATACCAGGCCTGGCTGACTCTGTACAGGCCTCTGCTGTTCAGACCTGGACTGTCAGGTGAAGCACCACAGGCCAGGGCATCTGGCAGTGCCAAGGGAGAGTCAGACCAGCCCCCAGGATCCCAGAATCTGTGTCCCCACCTTGGTGCAATCCACTCCCATTGGTTAGTTTCCTCTTCCACTGACATCCTTTTCTTTTAAAAGGGCTTTAGTTAATTCAACCACAAGAGAAGGCTGAGGGGGGACCTGGTGACTGTCTATAGACTCACTAGGGGGGACCAGAAGGGTTTGGGGGAGACGCTGTTTCCCCTAGCGCCCGCTGGCATAACAAGGAGTAATGGGCACAAGTTGATGGAGAGGAGGTATAGATTGGACATCCGCAAAAACTACTTCACAGTTAGGGCGGCTAGGAGCTGGAACCAACTTCCAAGGGAAGTGGTGCTGGCCCCTACCCTGGGGGTCTTTAAGAAGAGGCTGGATGCCTACCTGGCTGGACTCATTTGAGTCCCGTTTCTCTTTTTGGGGTTTTTTGTTGTTCTCCCGCCCTGGCGGGGGGTCGGGCTAGAAGATCTACTAGGTCCCTTCCGACCCTTAATCTATGAAAAACCTGTCCCGCACACACATGCCCGCTGCTGCGTGATACCCTCCAACACAGCCTCTGGCAGGCAGGGGGTGGCTGGCGAGCGCTCTTTGATCACTTGGCTCTGCTCATTCTTTGCCCGCTCACCCCCTCAGCGGGAACGTTTCATGCTCCTTGTTTCCCAGGGTCAGCCTGACTCAGCAGAACTTCTTGCAGCCTCTGCAGTACTGTTCTTCATGCCTAATGGGGCGTTTGGAGGCAGCTTATCCCCAAGCCTCTCTAACCTCAGTCATTAGTGGGGGAGAGAGAAGGAGGGGCGAGTGAAAAATCATGGTCCAGCTACAGCCTGACCCCAGGGTAGCAGGCAGTGCATTAGCTCTGTAAGGCATAAGGCTGTCTTGGGGGTGCCCCACTCCTCCCTTTTCTTTTTATTTTGAATCCTCTGGCAGTGCCCTCAGGAATTTGGGGTCTCTTGGCAGTCCCAGCAGAAGTAAAGGGCTAATGTCATTGGCCTTGACTGGGTTAGCACAGTGGCAGGCTTTCCCACCCAGGGCCTGAATGTGAGCCACCGTAATCTGGTGCACTGGGTGAGAAGAGGAATCTGTAGAGGTAGGAGGATACTTCTGCCTTCGTAGCCTGTCAGGCTTTGTCTTCACTGCTGTCCAGAAGGGCAGTTTGGCTGGCATGCTCCTATCTCCCTTTGAAACAAAGCTAGCAGAGCCGGGTCAGCCAGCCAAGAGCTTCTGTGCATGCAGAGCCTTGGAATATCTGTCCTCTCACTGTCCAGCTGGCTGGTAAGTCTGTAACCCTCAGTCCTGCTTTGGAGAAACAGTTTCTCCAGTTTAGCAGTCACTGGCCATGCTATGTGACCAGCTTTCACAGGGCAGGGCAGGCAGGCAGTTATCTGTGGAACGGTGGCTTGTGTATGTCATGGACTCCCAATGCTGAGTGCAGTGACCTTGTGATGGCAGTTGAATGTTTTCCACGGTGGAACAAAGGAAAAATGAGTGTGATGATTCAATTACAGCTCCACTTTGAATTGCAATGTCACTCCCTCTGTAGGTTAATTAGTAGCACAGCCCCCAGGCTATCTGTGGTAAGGTTTGCGGCAAAGTACATTAAAATGCAGCTGCAGCTCATTAACTAATGACAAGGTGCTTTTCACACACACTTTGTCCCTTGCAGTATTTTAGACACTTCTCTGAGAGATTGGGGGAAAATAAATATTCAGGGGAAGGCTTTCCCACTGATTAGAGCGCTAAAGGAGGAGGACACAGGAGATGCAGGTACACTTCCCAGCTCTGCCACAGACTTCCTGTGTGACCTTGGATCATCCCCTTAGCCTCTGTGTGCCCCAGTTCACCCCTGATACCCATAGAGAATTGTTTGGATAAATGTACTAAAGAATATGATATACTGAAATAACATAGGCTCATGAATGGGGGTCAGGGAAGAATAATGTATGGTAAGTATAGCAGCAGGGATGTTTTCTTGCAGACAAGTCTCCAGACCTCTGTTTTGAGTCCATTAATGGTGATTTTAGAGGGTAAATTCCAATGGATTTTGTTGCTGTCCCCAAGGGCAGCTGTTCCATCCTCAACATGGTTCTGAGATGAGCTGGGAGTCACTGGCTCCCCCTTGCTACTCACCCCATGACTGAGAGCATGTATGAGTTGCCTTGAGAAGCTCTCAGGAACTTTCCCTCAAAGCAGTGTCCCATGCTGCAGGCCGGGGGCATGGTGTCTGTGCTGACCCTGCCACTACTCTCTGGCTCTTTCTCCCCTGCAGGTACATTGAGAGGAAGGCGTTTCTGGATCGGGTGGACCACAGACAGTTTGAAATCGAGCGCGACATAAGACTAAGCAGGATGAAGCCGTAATGTGGATGTGGGAGTCCACTCCCCTGTGGACATGCTGGAGGGTCTGCGGGTGGCTGGCAGCCATCGACTGAGAACAAAATGCAAGAACAGTTTTTCTACCCAAGGCTTGACCCCTCTGTCCAAGCAGGTTTTTCTTTTTCCTGTCATAGTTAGGAGATGTTTGTCAATGGGTGGGGGCACTTCAGGGGTTAAATTGCTCAGCGGATGACAGTAGCATATAGTTCTCTCTGCAGGAGTGACTGATATGATTCTGGTGGGCAGTATCCAAAAGCTGAAAACCCTTGGCAGGTATCCTGTGTCATCTCTGTACACTTCTGGCAGTGAGATGGGTCAGGCAGACTTCACACTGCAGCACTGGCACAGGCTGCAGGAGTTGGCACATTTCTGCTTAAACAGGCAAGGTCTAGCACTGCACACAAGGGAGGAGGGGATGTCTCTACAGTACAGCAGTGCCTACAGAAGGGAGGATGAATCAAGGCTTGCAACATGCTTGAATACAAAATAGCCTCCTGGGGTCACCACGGAAAGGTTTCCTGTTCCAGTCTTTTTATTTTCAAGACTGCTTGGTAATTGTGTGTCATTCAGGCCTGTGGAATTCTAGGTTTCATCCCTTCCTCCTCCACTTCTCCAGCAGAGCCAGCTGGGTTTGATTCTCAGACCTCCCAACACTCAACTTTCCTCCCGAAGAGTCTGAACTGTGTCTGTTTGTGTGTCTATTTTTTAAGCAAGAAAATTAATAAATCCTTCCTGTTTTGTTCCTATTCAATTTCCCATGAAGAGGAGAGCAGCAGCAGGCAGGTATGGGGGGCTGGTGTCCAACCATTCAGACTAATAAAGTATTATATATGGATGCTTTTGGTTTGAGGGAGGTTTATTATTCATTATGCAATAGCACCCATCATACTGGGCACTGGATTTCCACACAGTAATACACAGCTCCTACCCAAAACTGTTTACAACCTATCCAGGCAAGGCTAGACAGGAACCATTTTACAGATGGGGAGGACAAATTAAGGGCCAGACCCTATGAAGGACGTAGGTGCCTACGGTGGGACTAAGATAGCAATTCCCAAACTGTGGGTCGCAGAAACAGCAGATGGGGTCACAAGAAATAAAATCACTTTAATTCAGGGATGGGCAAAATACAGCCTGTGGGCTAGATCTAGCCCACCAGGCAATTTCATTTGGCCCGCAGGCACCCACCAACTAAGCCCACGTGCCTCGCTTCTACCCTCGTGCATAGACGGGCCTAGCCCAGCCAGCGTGCAGCTTACGGGCAAGGTGGCTGCTGCTACTGCTACAGCTGCTGGGGGATCTGCTTGGCTTCCCAGGTGTCCCGCTCTCTCCGGGCACCAGGTAGGGAAGCAGTGGGGGCAGGAAGCATGAGGCTGGGGCTGGTAGCTGCATGAAGCCCATGCCTAGGGGAGCAGCAGAACAACAGCTCTCTGGTGGGCAGGGTGTAGGTCTGAGGGAGGGTGAGAGGATGTGGGGACTCCCTCCCTACTGGTGACAGCAGCAGTAGGTGACAGGTGCTTACGGCACTCTTGGTCCTCACAGGCGCTGCTGCCCAGTGGCTCCAGCCAGCACTGTACATAGTGGCAAGGAGCACAGCCAGGCTGGCCAGCCTCTATCATGTGAAGCTCTGTGCAGCACACATGC